GAACCGCAGCAAATTCGTCTTTGCGGCACCCGGGGCATCGCACTGAGGATTCGTAGTGACGCCGGATGGCTACAGTCATGATCGTAGCTTAGTGGAGGATCTACACAACTTCCCAATCCCCACCAACCACACTGATGTCCGGTCCTGCTGTGGCCTAATGCCGCAGTTCGACACGTTCACGCCGCGCTTAGCAGAGCTTCTATCCCCGATCCGGTCTCTGCTCTCTCCAAATAATGAGTTCGTCTGGGAGGATCCGCAGCAGCAGGCATTCACAGCTATACTAGAGGAGCTGGTAAGACCTCGAGTGTTGGCTACCTTCGACCCAGCACAGCCACTTCGTCTCGAGACAGACGCCTCGCAGTCAAACGGTCTAGGCATGGCACTGTGGTAAATGGACGGGCGGTGGCGTCTATTGCAGTGCGCTTCACGGCACGTCACTGAGACCGAGGCCAGGTACTCTGCGACGGAGATTGAACTGCTGGCGGTAGTCTGGGCGGTCCATAAGGCTAGAGTGTTCCTGGCCGGTGCTGATTTCGAGCTGCTAGTCGACCATAAGCCGCTCATTCCTATCCTGAATGCTAAGACGCTGGATCAGTTGACGTCTCCACGAATCGTCCGACTATGGGAGAAGCTGACGCCTGTTCGATTCGTGGCTCAGTGGAGACTGGGTGCTGATCACAAGGTCGCAGATTGCCTGTCGAGACACCCAGTGAGTATACCAGACTCTGACGATGAAACTGGTGAGGAAGAAATCTAGCACTGCTACTGTGTTCTCCGTCAGCTGTCGCAAGAGGACGAGGAAACAGGCCATACAGTCCTCCCCGACCTTGGCATTACAAAGGTGCGGGCGGAGGGCTCGACAGACCTGGAATACCACAAGCTGCTGGAAGCCGTAAAGAACGGCTTTCTGGTGGACAAGGCTGCGCTGGACCTCAATCTGCACCCGTGCTGGCAGGTTCGGCATGATCTGTCGGTCCAGGACAGCATAGTGCTGTTGGGCCACCGTATCGTCGTTCCCAGACGGCTACGCCAGACCACGCTGGAGCAACTTCACTCTTCTCATCAGGGACAGACCCGCACACTCCGCAGTGCCAGGCAAGCAGGGTACTGGCCCCAGATTTCGAATGACGTTAATAATTAAAAGAACGTCATCCAGACCTGCAGATCCTGCGTCACGCTGCTCCCCTCCCAACCTTCTGAGCCGCTCCTCTCTGACAGTCGTCCGTCCATACTGTTCGAAGATGCGACGGCAGACCTTTTCTCCCTAGGCGGCTTTGAGTACCTGGTTCTCACCGACACGTTTTCCGGCTGACCATTTGTTGGGCGTTGAGGGAGGTCGGCTACCACGTCTGATGCCACCAAACATCTCGTTCAGTAGGTGTCGCGCCTCACGACGGATGGTGGGCCACATTTCAGGTCTTCAGCGTTCGCTTCGTTCAGCTCAGAGTGGAATGTTTGCCACGACCCTAGCAGCTCGTACAACCCTCAGTCGAATTGCGCGGCTGAGGTTGCGGTCAAGGCTATGAAGCCCTTTTTACAACGATCACAGCTCACAGCCAAAGGCAAAAAAATGAATGGTGGGAGCATAGTTATGGTGAGCTTGCTAATGAAAATCGGCAAAGGAGACGCCTATAACAGCAGTGCCTTCAGAGCAGGGTTGCTGGAGTGGCGTAACACGGCGGGTGCAGGAGGAGTAATCCCGGCCCAACTGCTGTTTGGAAGGCCAACGAAGACCCAGGGCCAGGCTCCCACACTCCCTTCAAATCTGCATCAGTACGCTGCCCACAGCCGCAGCCCTTCCCAGCAACGGTAGTTACGATAATGATCGTGCATTCTCTTTTCCGTGCACTGGAATGAGCTAGGATACATGCAAAAAGCTACTGGCACTGTGTAAAGTGGTGGTTCACAGCAGGAAGGGGTGTACGAGTTTGCTGTCGCTGCACTTCTGCTATTTCTGCTCTTTTTTTGGTGTTTTTTGCACAAGAACTCTCCAGTTTTAAGTTGCGATATCAGCAACTTTTGAGCGTTTTCTGAAAATATGGATTCGATTTCAGCAACTTGCACTTGTTTTGTCACGGTTGCGAAAAGCATAAGTTGCGAAAAATGATTGCATCTTTGGGAAAGGGCTAAGGTACGACAGTCAGTGATTGTAGTGGATTGGACATGTTATCAAGGAAGTCGTAAACCAACCTACGACTTCCTCGTGCATCTACTTGTACCGGTACTTGTACTTGTAGAACATGTACAACTGTATGGAATTTGATGCGAACAGGCGGATTATTCCAATTTATGCGATTCGTACGCAATTTGCCTCGAATTATGCTATTATTCGATTTTGGTAGGAATTATGCGAACATTTATGCTAGCATAATCCGTCAAGGCCTAGTTATTATTCGTTCTTTTTTCGGGTGGACGTCGCACACCTGTGAATCGCTGCTCCTGCATACATGATTGTACGTATGTACATGAACATGTACGTATGTACATGCGTCATGTACATACGTATGTACATGACGCATGACACACTGCAGTACTCACTGCCAAAACTGCCTGCCTGTTGCTTTTCATCTGTCCGGCAAGCTGTGCACCAACGTGGCAACGGAGATGACGGTTATGATCTTGCATGTAAAGTCGCAAGTGGCAGGGATCGTTCACACCATGATTGTCACAACAACAGATAAGAACTGAGATGTACATGTAGACCCCGGCCGAAGTCTACAGTCCGTTTCAAAAAGATTTGCAATCCTGACGATCGCCCGCGGAGTTTGGCGTCTTACCGTATGAGCACTCGAGCGCTGCCTGGAAAAACTCACTTTGAACTCGAAGAAATATTCCGCGCGAAAGCAGGAAAAATGACAACTCACTCAGGTTGATACAGTCATGTACGTCTGGTTTACAACAAACGAGTTCTTCCTCGTATCGATAATGGAGTCAGAGAGGACATGTCGAAACGAAAGTGTTGTAAATGTTGACGAGCGGCATGGGTTCCAATTCGTTTTGTGACCAAAATAGTTTCTTTGAGCTGCGATGCAATTTACTCACCGTGTGACGAAAACGACATCGACACGGACTCATTCCCAAGGCCATGACTTGGCAAAGCTATCCGTGTGACTTCGACATTTTGAGAAAAGCAGACGCTTGTGAACGCTGATAGAAGACGGCGTTGACTGCTAAATTCAAATAAATTGGCGATCTTGAAATACTAAAATAAATATCAAAAAGCTACAGCGCGATGACTTCCATTATAATTCACTCACACCATTGCAGTGTTGTGGGTGTGTTCACATGGCGTGAGCCAGTCAAGTGTCAGTCAGTTCGGCAGGAAGCGCGAGCGGCAACAACAAGTCGTTTGGTGCAGCCATCTTCTTTGTCTTGTACCAGCTTGATCACCAAAACAATGAAACAAAAGTTTGACTTGAGGATAGGTTGGGATTTGAACTCACAACTTCATGGTCAGCAGACAGCATTCATAACCACAAGGCCAAAAAGGAAAGGATAAATCGTGGGTTTTGATAAAAAATCGATACTGGTTTCCTGGGCAAATTGTAAACCATGGGAAAAGGCCGGAAACCTGGCCGAAATTCTAACTCCTTAACGGTTGTTCCAATTGTTCCGAAACATTCACAGAACAATTTGCCGTGTCCTAACAAGCCATTCTATGTACTTTGTTGTCCAAATTTCCCTTATCTTCATACTTTTTAAGACCCAAACCTGATTGTAAATCTTTTTGAAACAGACTATAGTACGTAGTAGTAGTACTGTACCTGGAATACATGTACATGTACGTACACGTCACGAACTGAGTTCTAAAGTAGAGTCATGTACATGTACATGATGGTACATACATGTACATGTAAATGTAATTTGTTTTGCTTTCATTGTTCTTTTTTTTCTCCTTCTTTTTCTCAGTTTTCCCCACCATGGCCGGTTAAAATCGCCCGCATCACATGTTTATTGGCACTATGTCATCGTGATTGTGGAATAACAATAATAATTCAGTGTAATTCAATCTCAGAACATTTACAATGTTCATGTAACTACTACTCACTTACACGCAGGATGGTGCTGGAGCCTGGGGTAGGCATCGGCCATTGAAAACTGAATTCCGTCTGTTTTACATGGAATTTCTTGGAGTTTCCCAATGTATTGTACTTGAATAAAATTCTATTTTACCTTTCATGGTATCTCAATTTTTTCACGTCTACATGACTTTATTTTGCCCGTAAAAGAGGCCGTTACCCCGTAAAAAATAAAAAATAAACTACTTACTTACATGAACTGTACTTGCAGTTTCGACCTTGTTAGGTCTCATCAGCGGAGCTCAGAGCTACTGACCGAAGATATCGCAATGTTAACATGTCCTAATGAACTATAAAAACCAAAATAGCGGAGATATTTGTAAGAACGTAACGCGTCATCGTACTGCAGAGGAGATTGTTTTATTCTACAGGAGCTTGTATTGTAGCTGTCACGCAGATGACGCATTGACGGTGTCGTAAAGAAAATGTTGTAAAGTAACGCTGCGACCGGACATTATGTTGACGACGCATGAAGCACATGTACACGTGTCATGTACATAATACAATGTACATGACGATACCCAGCCTAACTTCTATAATGGAAACACATACAAACCCACGCACTAGTGTAAAGGGTCAAACATGATAATGAAGACAGCTCACAGCAGTGAGTCTGTGCCCTGTAAAAAAAAGTATACATGTATGTAGATTGGCCCATTGCCTTGCGAGAGACTGCCCGAAGATCGCGCGCGCTCAATCGTAATATCCATGATCTGGCCATACAGGTTTGAAGGTTGAAACATGCTTGACGTACTGGCATAAACACAATAAAAAAAACTGAACTCTACTCAGCCTTGGGATCTTGAGGCTACATGTACATGTACATGGATGCTCCGCCCTACGACTTCTTTGTCCGTTGGGGCGTGCGTTTCAAGGCCGAAGCATTTCGAACCTACTCCAGCAGACTCCTGGGGCTAGCGCATGCTGCTACAATACCGCCAGAGGGCGGCAAAAACCATACCCCAGACAATAATGTACTTCATGCACATGACAATATTATCGTCGGGAGTCGCGCCAGTATAAATACAAGCGGTGTTCCGGAGCAGAGCTCATTTTTCAATCTAATAGTCAGCAGTCCTTGCATTCCGTTACCCCTTGTGTTACTGTGCGAACAATTTCACGAAATCAGTATCCATGGCTGCTGCTTTCCCCAAGTCGATTCTCATCACAGGTGCTAACAGAGGTCTTGGTTTGGAGTTAGTCAAGCAGATTTTGCAGAAGAGCGACGGTGCGACAAAGCATATCTTTGCCGCACACCGAAGTCCACTTGGCAGCGATGGCACGCAGCAAATCGAGCAGTTGAGCAAGGAGCACAGCGGTAGAGTGCATTTGGTGCAGATCGATGTGACCGACCAGGACACTATCAAGAAAGCGGCGCAGTTTGTCGAGACAATCGTAGGAGGCGATGGCCTCAACGTTCTCGTCAACAATAGCGGTGTGGCTTCTTGGCAGACGAGCCTGGACGATGTGACCTTCGAAACCCTGGACCATCATCTGAAGGCCAACACCATTGGCCCGATTCTGGTGCTCAAAGGCTTCCATGCTTTGTTGAAACGTGCTGCAGAGGTGAACAAAGATATGCCGCTGGGTTGGCAACGTGCTGCTGTACTCTACACTACCACAATAATGGCCTCCCTTGAGCTGGCTGACAAAGGTAACTTCAGCGTCGAGAATCCCATGGTCAGGTTTTACAGCTATCGCGCGAGTAAAGGTGCTCTGAACGTCCTGGGTCATTCGTTAACACCTGAGCTAAGCGAGCAGGGAATAGCCTCGCTCCTGTTCCATCCGGGATGGGTGAGGACGGATATGGGCGGTGAACAAGGTGATCTAAGTCCGGAGGAATCGATCGCAGGAGTACTGAATGTGGCCCAACGATTGGACAAGGATACCAACGGAAAGTGTGTCAGCTGGGAAGGCGAAATCATCCCGTGGTGAGCGGAGACAATTGTGTGTCTTTAATCGTTCTTTACCTTTTGCTCCTCAGCCCTATTTGACTGCACTTCATTTCCTGATATTCGAAAACTTGAAGTATCGAAGCAATTTAAGGAATAGGTTCCAGATGTAGGTAAACCCTCATTAAATTGGTCCTCTTTCCTGCCTGTGTCACTCTGGGTGATTTTGGCCGTCGTGAGTTCCTTGTGGACAGAAACGAAAAGTACTCGTTATTATTTACCTCGCACATCCTGATAGACATGCTTTGGAATGTGCATTCCTTTTCTGGTATGGTAAGAGTAGTGAATTGTAGTGCTGTGTCCAGAAGCTCGTGTTCAGGTTGCCGTCAAGCAGGTCGGATATAATAATATCATTAGCTTGATTTGTGTTTCGTCGCTCCTAGTTATTATTATCGTTGCACGCATTTCATTTCTCAGGCAAGGCCAGCATTGCAAGATACTACAAGTAAGAAAAATGACAATGGCTATAATTTATTTAATCTTCAGGACAGATACATGTATGATGTTTGCAATGCTACTTGCCCTGTCGGGCTATGATCAATCATGAGAATGAATGTGAAGACTCCACTGCAGTTACATGTACATGTATATTATTAATAATTTTTATGATTCACCAACATACATGTACATCTACATGTATGTTGGTGATGGTCACTCAATCTACAATGTACATGTACATTTATGTCGGGATTTGTGCTAAAACGCAGAAATACCAGAACTTGTAAAGCTGGCATTTTGTGAAGGATCTCACACTTGTCTGGGCGGTGAACAGTATCTCAGAGCCGTGAATGAAAAACGGCTACCATGCTTTCCGTGCTGATGCAGTAGTACTGTACTGTAGAGAGCAAAATGTACGATCCTTCAATGTTTTGGGTTTGACAAGTCCTGGAGAGAATGCATGAAGTCTGTCATCAGGTCGACAGAATGATGCTTGTACTTGGGTGCATAATGACAGTTAAAGGTCCCATGGATTTCTCATGTTCTCTGCATGGAAGTCATGAGTCAGTCAAGTATCAAGTCAGCGGAAAAGCGCGAGCTCCAGTGTGGGAAGCCGCAAACCCTTTCCTAACAAATCATCGCCGAAGTCGCTACCACTAGAAACAAAAACAGCGAAGATATGTAGGAACATAGAAATTTCATTGTGCTGCAGAGGAGATATTTTTACTCTGGAGGAGCTGGTATTGTAGCTTTCACGCAGATTGGGCGGTGCCGTGCAAATCAATAAGAACTGTTGTAAAGTAACGACGGGACATACATGTATCATCACTCACCTCCTGTTGTCGACTGTCGTTGCTGCGCTGGAGAGTGGAGTGTGGAGTGGTCCTGCTTCAACTCGGGAATGCGTATAATAATGTTTCTTTTACAATAGAAGTTCGGTTGGCCAGCCTGCATGTACTAGCACATAATGATTATGTCAATTGTACAGTGCTCGGTTGTACATGCGTGTGATGACAGTCATAAAATATCATCACTCCGGTCCTGTTGCCTGTCGTTGCTGCGCTGGAGATGGAGAGTGGCGGCAGCGTCAACCAAGCAGTTATGCTTGCATGATTCACACGTTCGCTTATGCTGGACATTGAAACAGAGCAGATGTAGATATCTCCTAGAGAATGGGGCTCTACAAACCAATGATCAAAGTTAGTACTTCAGTAACATGGAGCGCCATAAAATTGGTGTCATTGGGAAAAAAAACATCATCATTATTGTCTCTTCATAATATTATAGCATCATGGTCAATGGTTGAGTTTCCAGATAATTATTTTATAAGATTCAAAATACGCAATCTGCGGACAGCATGCTGTTTCGTTCTTTGTGAACTCATCAGCGCAGCACAGAGGAAATGAGGCCGAACCGGATAGCAATGAAAATAAAAATTTCCAATCAGGCCCGATTCAAAATACAAAGGATCAGTCGGGGAAGTGAACTGCCTGAAAAGAGAAAAAACGCCAGACCCACCAGGACTCGAACCTTGACCCTGCTGCCTGCTTGTCATGAGCGATGCTCTAACCACTGAGCTATGGGACCAGGCTGAACCTAGAAGGCGCTGACATGACAAGCAGGGTCCCAGGTTCGAGTCCTGGTGGGTTTGGCGTTTTTTCTCTTTTCAGGCAGTTCACTTCCCCGACTGAGCCTTTGAATTTGAAGTTCTCCCAATGCTTTCCAGATTCAAAATAAGTAGTAATATTATTATAGAATGGAAAGAAAAAACATACATGTACATACCCACGCATAAAGGTTCACATAATATTATTGTGATAATGAAGACAGCTGCGACCCGTGTAAAAAGTATATTAATTTAGGAATAGCTCACTGAGCTCACTGACTTGTCAGTTCGAACACTCTGATAAGGTACGTTCACTCGTTCAGGCCTGATTTAAATCTTGCTTTGGAAAACATTCCTTGCTGTCAGGTTCGGCCTCATTTTCTCTGTGCTGCGCAGATGAGTCCACAAAGGACGAAACAGTTCTGTCCGCAGATTGAGTATTATGCTCCTGCTCTTGTAGCAGTTGAGCACTCTCGTGTGGGGTAGTGCCTTTGCTGTTTGCGTTATGCAGAGCTCACTGACTTGTCAGTTTGAGCAATTTGGCAAGTTCAGGCCTGGTTGAAATCTGGCTTTGAAAAATGCATTTTTCATTGCTATCAGGCTCGGCCTCATTTCCTCTGTGCTGCGCTGATGAGTCCAGAAAGGACGAAACAGTTCTGTCCGCAGATTGAGTATATTTTAAAATAAATTTTAGTGAATACAGTGTATGTAGATTGGCCCATAGGCATACCGGTACATGTAGTGCTACGAGACACTGCCGTCGCTCATATAGCACGTCATGTCCATGTACAGGTTAGACAGTTGACAGGAATATGACGGACGGATCGAGTACTGGGCAGGTACTAGGTCGAGAACCATCTTTTCGCTTCCGTAGGACACCACCACCCCATGATCATGTCTGATGCGAGGTAATCATAGTTACTTGACATACGCATAACATGAACTGAACCCCGCTCAATTCTGGGATCTCGAATCTACATTGTGCATGTACATAATACATGTATCGGTATGCTCTTAGATCCTACCGACTACCTTGCTCAATTGCCCATTCATTGGGAGCCCGCATTTCAAGGCGGTCCGCCGAAGCAGCTTGAACCTAGCCGACTAGACTGTTGGGGCGGCGCCTGTCGCTGCAATACTAGTCAGTATATACAGGAGGGGCGGACAAAACGTGGCTTACAGGTAATGTGGTAGTTATCATCGTCGATCGCACGAGGTGTAAAAGAAAAAGGTGGACCGAAGCACAACATCACTACGTTTTAATCTAACCGTCTGAGAAACTAGACGGATAGTCCTTCCATTCTGTTAACACCTTGTGTTACGTCGTTTTTGCTGTGGAACAATTGCCTTGGAACAGTGTCAATGGCTGCTTCTTTCCCCACATCGATTCTCATCACGGGTGCAAACCGAGGTCTTGGTTTGGAGTTTGTCAAGCAGATTTTGCAGAAGAGCGACGGTGCGACAAAGCACATATTTGCCGCACACCGGAGTCCACTTGGCAGCGATGGCACACAGCAAATCGAGCAGTTGAGCAAGGAGCACAGCGGTAGAGTGCATTTGGTGCAGATCGATGTGACCGACCAGGACACTATCAAGAAAGCGGCGCAGTTTGTCGAGACAATCGTTGGAGATGATGGCCTCAACGTTCTCGTCAACAATAGCGGTGTGGCGGCTCGGCAGATGAGCCTGGACGATTTGACTTTCGAAACCCTGGACTATCATCTGAAGGCCAATACCATCGGCCCAATTCTGGTGCTCAAAGGCTTCCATGCTTTGTTGAAACGTGCTGCAGAGGTGAACAAAGATATGCCGCTGGGTTGGAAACGTGGTGCTGTGCTCTACCTGTCGAGTATGTTGGCCTCGCTTGAGCTCGCTGACAATGGCATCACCAGCGTCGAGAATCCCACGTTCCGGATGTACAGCTATCGCGCAAGTAAAGGTGCTCTGAACGTCCTCAGCCATTCATTAGCAACGGAGCTAAGCGAGCAGGGAATATCGTCGCTGATCCTGGAACCGGGATGGGTGAGGACGGATATGGGCGGCGAACACGCTCATCTAAGTCCGGAGGAGTCGATCGCAGGAGTCCTGAAGGTGGCCCAACGCTTGGACAAGGACAGCAATGGAAAATTCGTCAACTGGGGAGGCGAAATTATCCCGTGGTGAGCGGAGACTATCATGCGTGTTCAATCGCCCATTACGTTTTGCAGTAAAACCTGTAACGAAAGACCACCATGACTAGCGACAAGCCTGGTACTACAGACCACTTCACCAGGCACGGGGGGAGGGGGGGGCTCACATTCACATTATTGTTGTGCGGTGCAAACCTCTAACTAAGGACCACCTGCCACTAAACTAAAGACCGCTTTCTCTGGCCCCAAGGGGTGGTCGTTAGTTACAAGTTTTCCTGTACTTGACTCCCCTTCATTTCCTGGTGTTCCTTGGTAGCAGAAACAAAAACAAAAACTCTCTTTTGTCTTACCTGGTACACTCCCTGATAAGTGATAGACTTATTAATGCTCAGTTGGAAGTTGCGTTTCTTTTTCTGGTGTGGTATGAGTGGTGCAGACCATAGCAACTTCAGTCACGAGCTTCCATTGATAGTTGTGACAAGAAAACGTTCTGGAACGCTTTATTCGTTGCTATGGTTGTGATTATGAGTGTGCATAATTATAGTTTTATTCATTGCATTATTATTATGTTAATCTAGTAGTTAGTACAGGGCATTGTAGTAGAAACGTCTCAGCGCGTTCTAGGTTCAGCCTGGTCCCATAGCTCAGTCGTTAGACCATTGCTCATGACAAGCAAGGTCCCGGGTTCGAGTCCTGGCGCGTCTGGCATTTTCCTCTTTTCGGCCAGTTCAATTCCCCGACTTCTTCAAAGGTAAAAACAACGGAACTGGTTCGGATGTGATGTGCAGCGCTTTGGGAATGGGTGTGTCCACTCGAATTCCTTTCTTCAAAGGAATTAGAAGTTATCCCAATCCTTTAAAAATCACGTTCTTTCACCTCTGCTAGTAGTGACTACTGGTATTTAGTGTTAGTTACTACATAGTTAGTTACTACATGTATATGTATTAGTATTACCATTACAGACTCAGTCAGTATTAGTCATGCCAGAAGGATTCACGCATTATGACATTGTGATGGCAATCATGATGATGCGCTTTCTGTCCCAAATAATCATTGGACTTTGGAGCTAGCGCACGCGAAAATCGACCTTAGTGGCACGCACTTCAAACTGAGAAAACGCACAAAAAACATTCTCTGTTTCTCTGTTTTCGTGTGATGTGTGATTATAGTTTTACATGTATCAGGGAAAATGCTCTATCTTCTAAGACCAAGTTTTACTCACATTTTTTCAAACGTTTTTTTGCATTGAATTCTGCATAAATCCATCTGCCTTTATAGGGCTTGAAAGTGCTACGTCACTCCATAGCAATGGCATAGCAACAATTTGAAAAATTCGAAAACTGGATCCACCTGGATCCAGTTTTTGTATGGATCCAAGCACATTTCAAGCGGTCTCACTCACAGCAAGGTGATGTTGCCAGTGAAACTGACTGATTTGGCTAGTGGGGGCGGGGTGACAACTGGTGGCGAAGTAAAAGTTGCACCTGCATACGACATGAGTGGGTTGCTATGCACCCACATACTGAGGCAATAGCAAAGTCACACCTTGGTGGATCCAAAATAGAAATCTGATGTCAATTTACTACTCCCAGGCCGTTTTTGACGTCATCACTTTCAAGCCCTATTCACTGTCATCTCAGTGGACCGTATGCGTGTTAAAACAAAATGGCGTCACGATTTATTGAAAGTGGTATAGTTGGTGGTACGAGTGTTCAAACCCATTTGAACTTCATACTGTTCGTCTTCTTTTTGACATGCTCTCTTTCCATCGTCCTTAGCTTTTGTTTGTTGAGAGCTGTTTTGGCTTTCTCCTATACCTCTGGGGGATGCCAAGTGATGGTTTTGAGAGGCTGGTGATGGCTGTGAGCGAGAGTTTGCCGATCGGCGTCGTCCTCGCTATAGCGATGAAAATACTAGTTACTGCGCACCTGGCAGATATCACAACACGTCGGAGCGTCCAGGAGCAAAGGAATCTTGGGTTTTCACTGGAATCTAGTTCCTCCAGCATCGTGTAGCCCACCGTCGGTGAATAGCGGTCCAGAAAGGTCGAACCTGGTCTTCTGCAGCATCTCGCAGTCCTGCGAGGCACACTGAATACGCCTGTCATGTATTCTACAAATAAAAATCACGAAGTAGTGGACTTTACAGTGATGAGTCTATCCTGTATGCTGCAAAAGACGCAGGAAATATGACTGGTGTCCGTACACTGGACGCCAATATCATCCCAGTCTTCTTCTGCAGGATCTGTTTGACATTGACATACCGGTATGCAGTGGGTCGACATTGGCCTGGTTTGGCAGCTTTCTGCCTGGGTGGATGTAGCAGGTTTGCATTGGCGCGTCGTCCAGTCCGACATTTTCTTGTAACTGTGGAGTACCGGCAGTGTTTGAGAGGTTGCTCGTGCTGTGAACACATCTCTTCTGCCTGTCTCGTCCTGGAAGTGCCGTCTCGCCGCTTCCTTGCTCTACAGTCACGCCGTTATTTCGCTTTGTTTCGTGGTGCAGCTCAAAACCTGCCCAAACAACTGTGAGCTCGCAACATGGTATGGACAAATTGCACCACTCATGCTGGTTAACTAAAACCGGGATAGTCGAGTAAGCGAGTTCACTCCTTGGGCCATAGCAAGCCTTGCTGAACAGATGATCTGTTCAGCGTGGGCTATTCCAACCTCCAAGTGCATAGTCACCGATCGATCCATGCGATGGTGGTTGCCCTACAAAGAGCCAAGGTCTACGAGTACTACTATTGGATGCTGTTTACATGCAGTCAACAAAATCAAAGTACCTCAGTATGCCCCAGAATAGGGCATGTGCATCTATAGCATGACACAACAGGGGTTCTGGCGGCACCTGTCAAACAAGCAGTAGCGACTAGTGCCAGCTACCTATTGGAGGCTAGCCGCTACAGTCTGTCACTGGAGATAATTATTATGTTCACTGTTTAGACTGAGCACAATCAATGATGCCCAATCAATCTGCCCAATGTGTGTTCTGTTCCACCTAATTATAACGTCCCATCGCATCAACCCTACTACACGCACATGTCGTCACTCTAGCACGACTTGTGTTATTATTGTTTATTTTGATTCGCACGATAAATAGAGCACAATAAACGTTAACTTGACCGAAGGTTAAAGGCGACTGCAGATAGAGGAACACATCGAGGTACAGGTACCGGCATCAATACAGTATCAGAGAGAAACAAACAAAAATGAGAGGTACGCAGAAAAAACTCTTGTAAGCCCAAGGGGAAGTGGTTGATGAGGGATGGATGCACTCTCCGCGCACATCTACACTGTTCGTGGAAATGCACACATACATACAATAATATACAACATAGCAATAGCATGCACAGAACCGAACAATTTCATGTTCACACTCATGCAAGCACAGACCTGAACATTAGTACCAAAAGCCGATACAGACAATATCCCCATACACACAGACGCACACACACACAATGTCCCATGTATGCGCCCGTGGCGAGAAAAGCACGCAAATCTACAAATGCACTGGATGTGAACCCACAGATTTTATCTTATAGCAACGATAGCGGATCTGATTCTGAATGAAACACACACACAATACAATCATTGAATGCCCATCCGCAGATGATGGCAGGTCCTGAAAGAACAGGCAGTGTTCCAGTGATGGGGAACAGAACTTCGAGTGGCGAGTGAGGTATACACACACACAAGTGCGTGCGCGGGCACACACTAAAGTATTCAGAAATAGAATCGACATCGTAGTATTCATTGGTTGGGGAATGGAAAGGAAAATAAAACATTGCTGTAGGTTATTGTTGTAAGGACACTGGGAGCACAACAGAAAGGTAAGCCACTTGCTTTGAAGCAAAGAAAGTTATTATTCCACGGATCTCAGAAGGAAGGAACGTTCCAGAATGCTGCACTGGCAACAGGCGGCCTGCATGTGCGCGGCCCCTGCAGTGTGTCCAGCTGCCCGCCTTGCAGTGCTGAAAAGAATGTGCAGTACAGCATGTCACATAGTATCGCAGCCTGGACAAATAGGCGCTGGGAAGTCCTAGTTATGTGCTCACCTACACCACGATGCACCAATCTTCTGAGCTATTTTGGCAACAACTTTGTCCACTTGAGACTCCCATGGGCTGAGCCAGTTGTTGAGGGCTGCACCAAGGTGGACGGCAATGACCGCTGATGGCAAGGCAATCCATGACACACAGTCACTAGGGCATCGTCAACATGGGGCTGAGGCTGGATCGATAAAATCAACCTTTAGGCTGCCGCGGGGTTGACAACGAGGCCGCTGTCTCGAAGCTAGTCAGTCAGCCTGGTCACCGCCATTGACGAACCAGTCGCCACCGCCAGCAGTGGCGGTAGGTTGTGACAAGTGTGGTGCAATATTGTCAGCAAATTCAGTACTCAGGATAAGATGAGTGACAAAGGGAACGTTGTGTTTGATAATATTGAAGTGAACAGGGATGATCACAAACCCTGCACGTACTCCACCGTGAGTTACAAGAAAATTCCGGACTGGACTACGAGCAAACACCAACCTGCTACATCCAACCAGGCAGATACTATTACGATAGCTGCCAAACCAGGTCAATGCCGACCTACTGCATAATGTCAATGTCAAACAGATCCTGCAGGAGAAGACTGGGGTGTTGGCGTCCAGTCACTGAGTGTACAGACACCAGTCACATTTCCTGCGTCTTTTGCAGCATACAGGATAGACTCATCACTGTAAAGTCCACTACTTCGTGATTTTTATTTGTAGAATACATGACAGGCGTATTCAGTGTGCCTCGCAGGACTGCGAGATGCTGCAGAAGACCAGGTTCGACCTTTCTGGACCGCCATTCACCGACGGTGGGCTACACGATGCTGGAGGAACTAGATTCCAGTGAAAACCCAAGATTCCTTTGCTCCTGGACGCTCCGACGTGTTGTGATATCTGCCAGGTGCGCAGTAACTAGTATTTTCATCGCTATAGCGAGGACGACGCCGATCGGCAAACTCTCGCTCACAGCCATCACCAGCCTCTCAAAACCATCACTTGGCATCCCCCAGAGGTATAGGAGAAAGCCAAAACAGCTCTCAACAAACAAAAGCTAAGGACGATGGAAAGAGAGCATGTCAAAAAGAAGACGAACAGTATGAAGTTCAAATGGTTTTGAACACTCCTTCCACCAACTATACCACTTTCAATAAATCGTGACGCCATTTTGTTTTAACATGAATATCGCGGGTTTCTGAAAATATGTCACTAAGTAAGGGTGATTTTCGCGTGTGCTGGCTCATTAATTAATTAATTTATTTATTTATTTTTTGGGTGGGTCTAAATTCCGTTTCACGTCGCCATGGTCACCTGGGAGTGTGTGTCGCAACACCACGCTGGTACATGGTCAACACGGATCAGTTGCGCATCTAGCTGCAGTGCAGAGCTAGAGCCAGGCCAGTGCAACTACACACTACAGACAGTGCGAATAGTGGCGACTTTGCGAGTGCGACTGGCAGTCTGTCATATCAACAGCACATGTCTGTAGCACATCAACAACAAAAAAGCCGTAAAGACACTGCACCCGCTACGTACAGACTGTCAGTAACAGGACATTACAGGTGAATGATATTTGAATCTGTGGTCTACTTCAAGTCTTGTCCTCTGCTAGCTCAGCCAGTTTACCAAACAACAAAGTCACAACATAAAATTCTTTTCCTGTGCCTGTGGCTGCAAAATAGCTTTGCCTTGCTATTGGGTGTTCTGTGTTCGCTCGACATCCTGTGGTCCCATGCAGCGATCGATGTTCGGCTGAAAACGCTGCTCTGATACAAGATTCTAGTCTGCGCACAGCCTCCTTTCTGTTCAGAGGAGCCGGTTATCCATCATTCAAACGCGTCGGATAGCGAAGTATTATTCTTAGTTGCCTAGACGCATGGCGACGCAGGTTTCTTTTCGCGACCAGCAGCACCCCTCGTCCGCCAATGCCTCCGCGCTGGTGAAGCGAGCGCACGAGCAGCTGAAGCGAGGCGATTACACGGCTGCAAAGTCCCTGCTGGCTGAAGTGGTAGAGGATGCGGACCGGCATGAGGAGCGCATTGCCATGAGACGGCAGTGCGCGCACAGTGCGGGCATGTGTCTGCTTCGGCTGGGAAGGGCGAGGGACTCGCTCGTCCATTTACAACAGGTACGTGGTCTACATAGTATCGCATCGGATGAGCGCTAATGAACAGTATTGCATACAGTTATGTACAAAAGGCATGTAGTATATCCCTGTGGCTTTTACTACACACACCCTTACCCTCATGCACGCACACAAACACGCACGCACACAAACACATATACACACTCACCAACACACACAGATGCAACTACATGTATGTGCGTGCGCACACACACACACACACTCTCTCTCTCTCTCTCTCTCTCACACACACACACACACACACACACACACACACACACACACACACACCTGTCCTGTCCTGTAGAGTCACTGCCGCAAAAGGGTCACGTGATCCCATCACTGGGAAACTTGAGAAGAGAGAGAGAGAGGACACGACGCTCGATGACGCTCCAGGTGCACGGGTAGTCGCATCCGCTTGCCGCATATGCACACGTGCTGGAAGGCTGAGCGCTCCTCTGCTGTTGGTCTATGAGCCACCCTTGAACAGCGATGCCTTCCCCGTCCCCGGACACTGCGAAAGCAGCGACCACACCTGTCACAATGCGCGGCACAACATCCCTCCGCCGGTGCCGACGCTCCGGTAGTTCCAGGTGGCACTGCGGCATCCACCGTTGAGGCACACACATGCCGGACCAAGCCAAAGGCATTCGATAAAGTGAAACATCAAACTCTTGTGCAAGATCTGTTCGAACTTGGCATCTGCGACATGGCACTCTGTTGGCTGGTGGATTACCTCTCTGATAGAGAACAGTACGTTCAGGTTGGCCAGACTAGAAGTCTCCCGTACACCAGTTACTCAGGTGTCCCCCAGGAGTCGGTACTGGGCCCACTGCTATTTATTGTCTATGCCCGCGGCATAGCAGAAGAACTATCGCCGTTTAATGTGGGAGCAATCCAGTTTGCTGATGACATCTCTATACGATGTAGCAGGGAGTCTGCGGAAGCTGTTTCTGCACACCTTTCAGCTGCTGTTCAGCACCTGGCCACCTGGCTGAAGGGCCGTGGTTTAATTCTCAATGAAAGAAAGACACAGATATTGCCTATTCCCCCATCCCCATCTCAAGCACTTGAGCTGCATGTCATTTGTAATGGGCAGACGCTGCCTGTTGTGAAAACGGCCAAGTATCTTGGCCTACATTTCGACTCAGACATGAGCTGGAACACCATGACAAGCCATGTTGCACGCCGCGTTGCCGCTAAGATTGGGCTACTAAATCGAAGTGCAGCATGTTTGCCTTTTTCTTGCCGTGTTCAGTTTTTCAGGTCCTTTATACTATCAGAATTTGACTATGCATCTGCTGCCTATGCCCCTTTCTTATCGTCTTATCAGGATAAGCGCCTAAATAGTTTGTTCAAACGTGCGGCTCGCTCGGTGTGCAGGGCAGCCCCTCGCACTCACACGGCTCCCTTACTTGAACGCATGAATGCCCATACCCTCAGCATATACACCCACATGCACATTCTTGTATTCATTTGGCGCTGCCTGAACAAATCTTCAAGTACTCTGTTTGCAAGCTTTTTCACCCGTAGTCCCTCTCTCCGAACACGAGGAGGGAGCAGCAAGTTACTCATCATTCCTGTCTCCCCCACTGCATCCTCAGCTAAGCGCATTAGCCATGCTGGAGCTATCCTGTGGAACCAGCTCCCAGACACAGCACGCCTCGAAAGAAAGCGCTCCACTTTCAAATCGCTAAGCCTGGCCTTTCTGTTAGGCAGTACCGTCAACTAGGATGAACTCATCTGCTTCACTACCTCTCTCTCTCTCTCTCTCTCTCTCTCTCTCTCTCTCTCTCTCTCTCTCTCTCTCTCTCTCTCTCTCTCTCCTCTCTCTCACTCACTCACTCCTTTCTTCCCGGTTGCCGTGCTTGTGACTTTTTTTCCCCTGCTGCCGTGCTCATATTAGTTATCTAACTACAGCTGTATCTTCTTCTTGGTTCTGTTTGTCCGCTTATTATTATATATTTTTCTTTTCTCTTATTATCAGTGGGACCATTGTCATTAGGTTTAGGCCTGTTTTGGAACTCCACTTTAAATAAAGCCAAACAACAACAAAACAACAAAGCCACCGCGGCTTCTCAGCCACCGCCCACACCGCCCGCACTGACTGGCGCCCCGCTGCTCAGACACAGGCCGCGCACGCTCCTCCAGACACTTATGCCGAGCCATGTCTCCTTTCCGTGCAAAATCCCGTCCGCATACCGTACATACCACTCGGGGCGGAGGCTCAGGCACATTGTCAGGCTCTTGGTAGGTGCTGCGCCACTCCGCGCGAGACTCACATGCAACATCATACCATGATGCCTCCACGCCACGGGCACGTAGATCTCGGACAGCGCAGTCCTTCCATCTGCGGCGTGGGCCATGTGCTGGGCGACGCTGCAAGAAGGAGCCAAACAGTACCTGTTTTGGGATGCGGTTGTCCGGCATCCGCGCCACATGCCCCAACCACTCCAACCGCCGATGTGCAATTTTGTCTTTAATCGTCTCGGAGTCTCCCCAGCGCACCAGCAGCTCTTCGTTGGTGATGTGTTCGTCCCACATCCGGCTTCGAGAGACCCCGAGGATGGATCACACACACACACACACACACACACACACACACACACACACACACACACACACACACACACACACAAGGCTCAGATAAATTGAATAGAAGGCCGCACCGAAATGCCGTTTATTTCAGGTAGCCCGACCGACCGACCGATTGATTTGTATTATTCCATACATGTACACTCATACATTGGTTATCTGACCCCGAAGTTACGGGCACTTCGGTCTGTCACGCACCCTTTGTGCTAGTTTCAGTGGGAATATTACTGTAAAGTAATGCGAGAGTGCCCCACCATCTCGCCCTTTCGTGGTCGTATTGTGGAGGTGGTGACCTGGCTATATGTCATACGAATCATGGATACGATACGCGTATACGGACCTTGTACACACATAACACGTTGTGCAGTCAATCCATACTCAATTTACCTTCGAGCGGACCCGAGCTCCACACAAAAACCTGCTAAGCGTAACCTTAATACACTACGGCTCTCACATCGCACGCACTGCGTTGTACACTGCCATACGATTTTCCTTTCCCTGGCTGTAAAATCAAGATGCGGCGCTCTCGTGAGACGGGGCTCTGCCACGGAAATTGGGACGTCATAAATATGTCATATCTATGGCCTTTCCAAATTCATGTGGCTCGGAGTTACGGACATTTGAAAGTTAACGGCGGTGCCTGGTCCCAGACCGCCCGGATAAACGCGGCATGAGTGTACTCTGTATGTTCAGTATGTACATGTAGCGGGCAGGCGCGTGCGCCGGTGCCCTTCAAGGGGGGGGGGGGTTCCGGGGGCCTCCCGGGAAAATTTCAAAAAATGAAGCAAAATCCTGCATTTTGAGCAAAAAAAGGGGGGTTCCGGGCACCCAGGAACCCATACGGGGAACGCGCCTGGCGGTATTGTTGGTTGACAGCCTGTCACAAGGTGGAGGACGCCGTGTTCGGAAACAGTGACCCTTCTACTACCATCCACGCACGGTTGGTAGAACCCCGGTCGGTCGTGACCATCTGAACCGTATGGGTGTTAGATCCGGCTCTGACCCTCTCTATTCTAGGGGAGTAGTCTTAGACTTCTCGTACCGTCAGTCTTGTATAACAACATGCTTGAACGAACAAGGTTTATCTACTTGTAATACCATGTACCGGTATGCGTACTGCATCTTGCGTACATCCATACGTTTTGTGCAATGCCGCACGCATGCCGTACATGTATATCCAGGTGTATGCGAGTGCAGCTATCGGATTCAGGTTTCCACACATGGCAATTGCCTGTGCGCCGGGCATGTCAGTGAACAATGCACC